ATTACTGTATTTGGTATATTAGTAGTTTGTCCTCGCGAATGGAATCTATTACAAAATTTCCATTTTTTGCTAGGAAGTTGGATGTTGCGGTGCAAGAAAAGTTTCAGTAAATGTTTAGCTGCTAAAATCCTTGTTTGTACTGCAATTGGTTTATGTGGAAAAATAGAAATGCTTGGATGTTCGAGAGTGTAGATACTAATCCATGGATTCTATTACATCTGTGAATAGGGAATTTCAAGAGAGAATAAAGATTTTCCAGCAAAAGTATCAAGATGCTCAGAGACTAGTCAGTTGCTGTGTGGAGGAGGAAAAGAGGTTCCTCATTGGTTCTGGGTGGTTTAAGATTAGTGTGGATGCTGGTTTTCTGAACAAAGGAGTTGCAAGTTTTGGTCTAGTAGCTTTTGTTATCGATGGTAGATGTGTTGTTTCTTTTCGGTCCTAGTTACGCAATCTCTTCTACGCATCCTATTTATTTAGTACAAGAAATCAAGAATAAATCAAAAAAAGATCGAAGTGGATTAAAGTAATTCTGGAATCGGGTTGTTATCCAAGCTATTTTGAGCCCAAAGTCCTTGTGGTGCTATTGATGTTTTATGTCTATGAAAAGATAATGTAGAGCTTGCTTCAGAGATGACTCTTAAATTTTGTTTTTGTAAAACGTGAGAAGAATGTTTTAGCTCACACTCTTGCCCAGAGAAATTTGTGGGACAAGGAGTAGTTCTCTATCATCCCTTCTTAGGTCGCCGGCCTCTTTAGGGATTGTTCTATTAGTTTCTCAGTTTGATGTATTTTTGTTTCTGTTCTCTTGTCCTAAAGAAAGTTTTCATTTCTTAAAAGAAAAACTAGTGGAGTAACCCGTGCTAGTGATTTTCTAATGTTGCCAGAAAAGAAAGATCAAGATGGTGATGGCGCATTCCAGGTTGGAATGGGTAATAAAAGTCATCTTGATGATATGCTTTGATGCTTCTCCTTCTCCTTGCTTCTTCTCTCTTTTTCTCTCTCCTCTCTCTCTCTCTCTAACCTTGTATAAACAAGGATTGCATAAACTGAATTGAGTACCACTACCACTTGTAAGAACTCTTAACAACAACAATGAAGATGAGGAGTGGAGTTGCTATAAATTTATAATGGTTAATTTAGGGTTTATATTTAAAGCTCATGATCCTTTCCTGCATGTTCTGTTTCTAAATTTAGAAAATGACAATCCAGACCCATTTTCTTCTCTCTTTGTCCACAGTCAGAATTTTTCTCTCTCACCTTCCTTGATTATCCCCATCCCCATACACCAAATCTATGTATGAAAACTATACACTTCACTCTAACTAAGAAATAAAAAGAAAGTTGCAGAAAATTATTGCCTATAAAGAAGAAAAAAAAAAAGAAGAAAAGAGAAGGAAGGGCTTAAATCGGAGTTTGTAGCAACAGAATCAAAGAAAAAAAAAACAGGAAGCCCAGATGTCCTTTTTTTTCTTGGGAAGTTCTCAATGGGGACAAATGTCGACGCTGAAACACAAACTAAAACTGATACTCAGAGTTGAGAATGAGGATTCAAAGGTTCTTCCTTTCTGCAAAATAAGAGTGATTGTTTAGGAACGTAATCACGGTGGCGAGAGACAGGCTGGTTTGAGAAACGACTGACATTGACACCATGCTTCTCATCGTCAGAGTCGCGCATCTAAGCATTAGTATTGAAAGAGCACAGTGTGGCTTGTGCTTTGTTCTAGAACCAGGAAGAACGATGGAGAATGCAGTCGGTGAGTGCGGTGAAGGACGAAGAATAGAGACTGGATCTGCTCGTCACAGATGGGCGCCTCACTCGAATAACCTCATACCTTCACACGTGAGTCGTGACTTAGATGGTAAATGAAAAAAGACAAAATATAACACGCGCATAGCAGACCCTCATTTATTACCTATTCGCACTATCCATTAAAAATCACGTGCTGATACCATTATTTCAATGGTCAGAAGGCCACGTCGCCCAAAACGAACACTCACTTTAATATATAAATGCTAAATAGATAATCCTAAACCAGACAGACTATCAACCAGATGGTAGGGCAAGTCGAGCCGGGTTAGGTCTGGTTGAGGCCAACCCTAAGTTCTAAACCCCAACTTTAATCTTAACTCAACCCAACCTTCAACCTGACCAATCTAATCTTAACTAAATTCCTTCAACCTTAACCCAACCCAACCCAAAGTTAATTTCAGGTTGGGTTGGGTTCGGGTTGGGCCCAACCCAACCTTCTTCCCATCTCTTAAAACCTCATAAATTTCTCAGTTTTAGATCTTAACTCAACTTTCACTATATATATTAATCCTATATTTCATTATTATTTATTTGTTGATATTTTTTTTTGATACACAATTCAAAAATACAAGCATTAAAAATAACTATAATTTATTATGAGTTATGGCTTACAATAGATCTTTCTTGGGCGACAAACAACATAGAGGAGATGAAGAATAAAATTTTCAAAAAAAAATATTATTAAGGTTCTAGTCTTTCTGATTAGAATTAAGTGAAGTGATTATCCAAAAAGAAATACATGATACTATGTGGTGGGGGCTATACAAATATCATGTATCTAAATAAATCAATGTATGTTATATATTACATATAATATATATTTATATATGACATGTACTATAGAATTGGATCGGATTGGCTAAGAGGTCAACCCTAACCCTAACCCGAACGTCAACCCAATCCAATTTTTTCAGGTTAGGTTAGGGTTGGGTTCGGGCCAACCCGGCTCATCAGATGGCGTGACAACAAATGCTCAACAATCTTAATTCCTAAACCATCTGATTTGTTGTCCATCAACACATTGAAATGTCCTAAGTCCTAACCAGATTTCAAAAATCATTTTAAAACTAAACTGCTTGACCAAATTCTTAAAGCAAAATTGTAAGTAAAGATTATAAAAATAACAAAAAGTAGACTTACCAATTGTCAAGAGGCCAGAGCTGGTTATGGCATCCAAAATCACACTACTAAATTTTTGTTAAGGTTCAATTTGGAAGAAATGCAAATACAAATATGTATTATATAAATACATACAAAATAATACAAAATACAAGGTTTTGCACTCTATAAATTTGTATTTATACTACTTTCAAACTGAGCCTACAAATACAAATATGTACAATACAAAATTACAAATATATACAGAATAATACAAAATACATGTTTTACACTATATATCTGTATTTATACTCATTCCAAACCGAGCCTAAGATTCATACCAAATGTTAGTCTTTTGCGTTATCTAAAGTCTGGTTTTAGGTGGCTCTAAGGCTGGAAGCTGGCCCATTGCCCACTATTGCTAAACCCATGTAGCCATTTGGATTCATGTCCTCCATGCAATTAAAAGAGTTAGAGTTTGTTTAGTCGGGTGTCTCTCTTATTTATTTACTGTATCTATTAGTAAAAATTGATATGACTGTCGTGCTTTTACTAAATTTTTATAGGTTCAACTTGCATAGAAGTAATTTTCAATTAATTTTGTTACTAAATTATAATATCAAAGATATTTTTAGTTTATTTTATTAATACTATATATTTTGATAAATTTTAGTTTAATTTAGTTATACAATTAAATATCCAATTGAATGAACAAATCATGGTGTATTGATGGATTTATTTCCTTTCAATCTAAAAATTTGTTTGTACAAAATTTATTAACAAACTTACATCATTGATAAAGATGACTCTTTCTTTTCACACTTGTGTTCATTTAAAATTGATGAATATATAATACTACACGTCTCCAAATTTTCTATAAAATTTTTTGCATTTTTGTATAATTTTTATTTTTATCTATGTTTAAATTTTTGTTATTTAATTATAACACCATGGGTTGAGCCATTTGATTCATCACGACTAGAATAGAGAAATTAAGAATAAATAAAAGTGATCAAATCAAGGTTCAAAGTATCGATACATATTAGTGCCGATACAGGTTGATATGTATCATGCCGATGGCTTACCGATACACCCCTCTAGGGGTTGTATCGGGTCAGCCACCATAGTTGGGCCTTAAACCGACCCCTCTAAACTAGTTTCAAAAAAAAAAAAAAACACACAAATGAAACTTAAAAAAAAATGTACCAACATGGGCCGATACACCCTTGTCGATATTTAAAACCTTGGATCAAATTAGAGGGGATTGATTTCAAAAGTAGGAATGTTTTAATCATGAAAAGTTCCACAAAGCTCACTCGTAGGAGTGGATTCAAACTGACCTGAGCCAAATACTTGGCTATTCGAGCTCGGCTCATTGAAACTGTGTTAAACTCAAGCTCGACTTGAGCTCAAGCTCAGCTCGGTTCAAAGCTTGCAAGTTCAAGCTCAACTACAAGCCCAAGTTTTTTTTCTGAAAAAATAAAATTATATATATAAATATATTTTTTATTTTACATGCAAAAAATTAAGAAATATAAAAATTATTTATTATTATACATATAAAAAATAAAAAATATACATATAAAATGTTTTTATTTTACATACAAAAAATAAGAATTATAAAAATGATTTACTATTATACATAAAAAAATAAAAATATTATATATAAAATACTATTGTATATAATAAAAAGTATTTATTATATATATTTATATGTATATGTATGTTATGTATGTATGTATATAATAAAAAAAATATTTATTTATTATACTAGGTTCGCAAGGCTTATGAACCAAGGTTCACTAGGCTCGAGCTCAGCTCGATTAGCAAAGGAGCCTATATATTAGGCTCAAGCTGAGCTCGAAGTTCAATTTAAACCAAGTTTCAAGCCGAGCTTTTCACGAGCCAAGCTCAAATAACTCGTAAGAAGCTTGGCCCGTGGCCACACCTACTCATTCGTGCTTATAACATAAATATAGAATATATAAACACATTTTGTCTCCTAAATATATTGCAATGCATAAATACATTGAAACATTAGAATTATTTCTACTGTATAAGGTATTTTGATAAGAACAAAACAAAGGTGAAGTAGTTCTGGCTATTAAAACAATAATATATATATATATATGGCAAATGTATATGACAACAAGAAGCTTGAATTCACTCTACCTAAATAGCTCCGATTGCAGCTTCTCAAACCCATCACCGTACAGAAAGCAAAGCCCACACGAAAAAGCTCAGCAGAAAAATTTACATCCTAGAATTGCATACCATATAAAGAAGCAGGAGTATTTTGAACTTTTTATTGATAAGATGTTGGGCAATGTATTAGCCCATTCTGCAATTTCCTTCCTCATTTACCCAGGATGAGCAAAGACTGTCCACAACTTGGCTCGTAGGACAAAGGCTCTTATCCTTGTGGGCTCTCAAGAGATATATCAAACAGTGCTGATATCCACTCGACTTTTATGAAGCTGAAAGGCGGGAGTGATCCAGCTCCCACAGCTGCATTGGATACCTGACCAGTTGAAGTAACCTAAGCGAGAATCACAATGGGCACATGACAGCTTGCCTTCCAACCCACCCCCTTCCACTGAATGAGATGAAAAAGAACTATTTAATAATGCAGTAACCAAATATGCAGCTAAACTCGTACTGATAGTCGGATACATATACTATAATATTAATTGCGTTGAATACACATTCAATTACCCACAATCCATAGCTATCATTTTGTCAAGTGAAACTTATTATATCATCTTCCTCATCATTTACGGTCAGTACAATGGTATATGCTATGAGTAGGGATAAATGTCCAAACTAAATGCAAGTATTAATCTAAAGCCTAAGAACACACCAGAAGAAGCATGCTATATGGTGATTTAAGCGAGCCGTAACTTGTAACCAAAAATTACAACCTTGGTTACCAATTAACCATTAATTTTAGATACAAACGATGTGGCATGAAGTTGGAGCTTGGAATGATTTAAATGAGGAAGGCTGAAGGTTTATACCTATGGTCATCCAACGCAGGGGTTCAACAAAGATAGAGGAGCACTCGTACTCAGCTGGCCTGTTATAAGGATTGCCACTTTTTCGTTTCTTCCATTCAAAACAGGTCTCGCCTTCACCAGGAGTGTGGGCCACAACATTCTCTTGGAGAGCAACAACTCTCCTGCACTTCTTGCAACGATAGGCAGGAATGGTCTCAACTGCTCCACCTGGAGATGCTGCTACAGATGTAACTTTGGTAGACAGACCAGGATCAGCCCCAAACTTAGAACTGGCTATCCTCTCACCACGGTTATAACAATCACCTGAACCCATGACCACCCATTTTACCATACTCTTGCACAAAATGAATTTTATCCTGTAAATCAGAATAACGATAACAATGGCAAGTTTCAAATTGCAACAACAACACCTTGTATTTTGTATGTATTTGCACTGTACATAAGGCTCAGTTTGGAAAGAGTGCAAATGCAAATATGTACAGTGCAAATGTATACAAAGTAATATAAAATATTAGGTTTTCTACTCTACATATTTGCATTTGTACTCCTTCCAAACTGAGCCTAGGAGTACAAATGCAAATTTGTACAGTACAAATACAAGTAAAATAATAAAAAATACAAGATTTTGCACTCTACATAATTGCACTTGTACTCCTTCCAAACTGAGCCTAAAGAAATACAGAATTAATATGAGAACAATTAAGTAACTGATTCACACATTTGGGAATGATGGGGCCACTTTGGAAGGAGCACAGCGATAAAAAATTATCATAGGAAGCAGTTTTGCTTAATAACAAGAAAATATGAGAAAAGGCAAGAACATACTACCATGGGAGATACTAAAATAGATAATACTGAACAATTATAAATGCAATACCACATGTTCCCTGCCTCCCTCATCCAGTATACATGGTCTATCTACTCAATCTTCCAACCATCCATCAATCATAATTCAGAAGATTATTTAAAAGAACCGTTTCCAGAATCCAGAATCATACAGAGAATGTATACTCAAATATATTGGACCATACTTTCCAGAGGAATGCTAATCCTACTCTAGCATGTAAAATTTAGAGATGTATCACCAGTGTTTTTACAGTTGTTCATGTCAGGTGGTGTAATTACCAGACAACCACCATGAGAAAAGGCATATACACATCTGACATGGACAAACATAAAAGAACAGGTTAGTGCAAGAATATGATTAGTATTCATCTACTATCCATTACGTGTGTAGTAAAAAACTACAGCATTATAATAGTGAGACCAGTTATGAAAGACAACAGGAAAGGTCAAGAACAAAAACAAGACATAACGCCGAATATATGAGTGTTCGAAGAAATTTTCATTTCATGAGGAAAAGCAGCTGATCTCAAAATTAACCAAACAGAAAGTGTTGAGACCTACCCAATACTTTTAGACGGAAACGCTTGTATATGGGACTTGCAGTATCAACTTTGAAACCCATGTCTTCAAACATTTTTAACTACATTCAGAAAAGGAAAATAGTATAAATGTTCTACTACTGGCCTTCGCAAAATATTAAGTAAAATCTTAAAATCATTTCTCCATGTATAAATCATAAATATAGCACAGCATTGTATCACCTGCTCCATAAATCCATCATTCGGACAAACAAACTCACAACTTTGCTTTAGAGATTCAAGTGCATCTGCAGGAACATATGGAAAGAGACAAGGCAAAACCCAAATGAAGAACAAAATATGAAAATTCAGTTGTCTAAAGTCTCCAAACCATACCACAAAGAAAACAACATTTTTTTTTTTTGATAAATAAGAAAACAACATCTATTAAAGAACAACTGAAGTCCGATAGCCAGATATCTATGTAACAAATAATACACCAAGAACATAATGGATTTGCTTGAACCTTCTTGAGATAGTTGTTCAGTTCTCATCAGATATGCTGTAATAATAGCAGCACTGCAATAAACACATGCAAACAAGGGGTGTAAATCCTAAGAGAAAGATTAAAGATGAGACTTTGAAAAGGCAAATTTCATGTACATGAAATGAAATTTATCACTGATTAACATGAGCACAAGATTATATTTTTAAATGAACTTCAAAAGGACTGAATTGACAGGAAAATACTCACTATAAGAAACAGCATTGGAAGTGGTTCCAACTTCCAACCATTAGAAATATATATTACGTTTTTTGCTGGCTACATGAATAGCCCTGGAGATGGGAAGAATTAAACTCAACTTCAATATTTCCTATCTTGGCAACCCGGGCCCATCAGTTTTTTTCAACAGACTAACAGGGCAACACTCTAGTGTGACAATAAGGCAGCCATAAGCATTGCCAGCAATCCTGTCCTGCATGAGAGGACCAAGCACATTGAAGTGGACAAAAACTTCATAAGGGAAAAATTGGAAAAGGGAGAAATTTGTACTCCTTATGTCAACTCCAAGGAGCAACTAGCTGATGTCCTCACAAAGGGGCTTCCACACTCGTGGAACAATGAGTTGTGTGACAAGTTGGGCATGATAGACATATTCAGCCCAACTTGAGGGGGAGTGTTGTTAGTTTTATTATTTTATCTTTGTTGTTAGTGTGCTGTCAGCCTAGGATGTTGTCAGCTGTTCTTTTCTTCTTTTAATCAGTTTATTATTAGGGTGTGCCACCAAGGGTATAAATATAATCTCCCATTTATTATTATGTTATATCATTATAAATAAGAAGCTGGATGCCGCCAGCAACACTTTTTGACTCCCAAACTTTTTTCCTCTCTCTTCTTCTCTTCTCCTCTCTCTTTTCTCTCTCTCCAAGAAAGAAAATAGGGTCCATTGCCAAGTGTTTAGATTGTCCTACCCCCTCTTGGCCTTTGTCCTATTTAGGTCTTCCACTAGGTGTAAACCCTAAGTAGAGTATATTCCAGTTTCTTGTGTTGAAAAAATTTGAAAACAGGTTGGCTACTTGGAAGAAGAATTACACCTCCCTAGGAGGTAGAGTTACCATGATTAGAGCCACTTTAGCCAACTTACTGGGCTAAGAAATTAAAGAAGTTGATGAGGAATTTTCTTTGGAAGCCTAGAGAGGAGAAAAAGGACCATTTAATTAGTTGGAAGATAGTTTGTAGGACCAAAGAACAGGGAAATCTTGGCCTAGGAAACTTAGTTTGTAAGTGTGTGCCTTTACTAGGTAAATGATTGTGTAGATGGCATCTGGAGAGAGAAAGATTGTGGCATAAGGTGATTGGTAGTATCCTTGGTTTTTTGGAGAATGGTTGGGATGTTGGTTTATCACGTTAAGCTACTTTGGATTCATCATGGAAAGCAATTAATTGTATCCTTCCCCAATGCATTCAACATATCATGTATTATGTCTATTCTAGGAACCTAGTGAACTTTTGGGAAGATGTTTAGGTGGGCAGTTCATCCCTAAAGGATCCTTTTCCCTCTCTCTCTCTCTCTACTCCATTTCCTTGCACAGAAAAAGAACTTGTTACTAGGTGTCTCTCCTCTCCCAACACCCCTTTGTCTTTGAATTGGGACTTTGGTTTCCAAAGAGATATGAGGGATGATGAGTTCATTTGTGTTACAGACCTTTTTTGTGGGTAATGTTTGTTTGAATCCTCCTCGACCAAACAAAAGGATTTGGTGTCCTTCTCCAAAAGGTTCTTTTTTTGTTGCTTCCTCTTCAAGGTCCTTTGTTCTTCCTCTACTTTTTCGGTTTTCCCAGTAAAGGAAGTATGGCTTAGGCCCATTCCCCCTAAGATTTTTGTGTTTTGTTGGGAAGTATTCCATGGGAAGATAAATACTTTGGACAAAATGCAGAAGAAAAGGCCTTACTTGTGCTTGTCCTCGTTTTGGCTTTTTGCAAAACTAATGGTGAGGATTGTAACCACATACTTTTATCCTACCCTTTTGTTGTTGCTATTTGGAATTGGATTTTTGCTCTTTTTGGATGCAAGAGGGATCTACCAGTAGAAGCAGCTTTGCTGTTTGAACACTCAACTTTTGTTTGGCCCAAAAAAGAGGGAAGGTGATGTGGAAATGTATTAGAACAACCTCTGTTTGGACAATTTGGGAGGAAAGAAGTGCAAGAATTTTTCAAGATAAGATGTCTTTTAGAAGTCAAAGAGTGCATATTGACAAGGGTAATACCTTGGTTGAGAACGAGTAGTTTGTTCCAGTCTTTATCCTTCAATGATCTTTGGAGAAGCTAGATAATAGTGGCTAGCAGTTTCTTGTAAGAAGAGTACCATTGTAGACTAGGTTCCTCCACTTGAAAATTTTGTTAAATTGAATTTTGATGGAAGTAGCCAAGGTAACTCTGGCCCATCTGGCATAGGTGGGGTCTTGAGATAAGGACAGCACTATTTTTACCTTATTCTCAGGCCTAGTGGATTTGGGAAACTCCACTAGGGCAGAGCTACTGGCTGTCATACAAGGGATTCAGATTGAAAGTCAACTTGGTGTGGAGAGGCTACTAATTGAAGGTGATTCCAGGGTAATTGTGGGTTGGTTGATGGGTCAAGAGTTGGTTGTTTGGGGCTTTAGGGGTCTCCTTAAGAAAGTGGTTTGGTTAACAAGAAACATGACAATGAGAATCCAATGGATACGAAGGTCAGCAAATAAGATAGCTGATTCTCTTGTTAAAGAAGGGATCAATAGGGAACACCTATTTTGGGCTGCTTTGTAATTATTTTGTTATTCAGTTTTTTCCTCTTTTTGGTTAGATACTTAGATGTAACCTTCTTTTTTGAGAAAGGCTGCACCTCACACCTTTCTCAGGGATACTTGTAATTGATCTATCCTTTTGATTAATGAATTAAAATTTCAATTATCAAAAAAGAGAGGAAAGGTGGAAACAAAAGCTAAAATTGGATATTTCAAAAAAAACAAAAGCTAGAACTAGAAGAGATCTTAAGGAAAGAAGAGATTTGCTAGAAACAAATCCAAGTGTAAATGGCTTGTAGAAGAGGATGGTAACACCAAGTTCTTTCACAAACTTGCAAATGGTAGAAAAAGAAAAAACACCATCTATAGTGTGGAAGTGGAAGGTCAGGAGTTAAGAGAGGATCAAGAGATTACTAGGATTTTTATGAATCACTTTAAGGCCCTTTTTTTCAGATCCAGATGGGAATAGGTCAGATTTTTTGGATTTGGAATGGGACAAAATTTCAAAGGAATAATCCCAGGTGTTGGAAAGGAATTTTCCTGTGGAAGAAATTAAGGAAGCAATTTTCTCAATGGAGAGGTCCAAAGCCCCAAGAACAGATGGTTTTTCTATGGCTTTTTACCAAGAGTGTTGGGACTTTCTAAAATCGGATCTTTTGGAAGTCTTTGAAGAGTGTTTCCATAAAGGAGAGATCTCCCTTAAGGCAAATGCCACCTTTTTCTTTTTTCGAAGATAAATAAAGAAAAGATTTGATTGATAAAAATAAAAAACAATTACAACTTAAATAGGTGACAAGAGGTCACCCCCATCAATACACTGCATCATTACAAAGGAAAACAAAGGCTTGTGTTAATAAGCAACCTCTGGCTATCAGCCAGACAAAGGCTTCAACCCTTGGGGCGCTGGTTTCCCCCACACTCCCCAAATTGAATCAGTCTCCACCTGATATCTGATCAAAATGGAGTACATTGACTTGATTGTGAATTTCCCATCCTTTCATTCCTTCCACCACCTGATGTCTGCAACTGAGGGATTAATTTCCATTGACTGCAGTTTTGATAGCAGCTCCAAGCACTCCTCCATCACCCAGTTGAAAAGAGGCCTTCTAAAATTTGGAGTCCAAACCACAGATCCGTTAATTATTTCATAACAATATGCACTCCCTCCCAAACCAAACTGTAGAGCCTTGGACATATCTCGCAAAACTTCCCAATTCCAGACCAATCATCCTCCCAAAACCCAATGCTAGACCCACCCCCCACTTTCCAAGAATAATGAGGAACCATCAGAGAGTTGAAGCTCATTATCCCTTTCCATACACTAACTCCATAAGAGTATCTCACTTCCTTTGAATCCCACCCAAAATTCACCACGCCATACTTGCATGCCACCACTCTCCTCCAAAGTGCCTCCCTCTCTCTTCCAAACTTCCACACCTACTTCCCCAACAAAGCTTTGTTGAAAACCCCCACCCTCCTCACCCCTAGAACCCCCTGTTTTTTAGGTTTACACACCAACTCCCACTTGACCAAAGGAATTTTCTTTTTTCTCAGATCTCACACTCCACAGAAACTCCCTTTGAATTCTTTCTAACACAGGTTGCCATATTGAAGTAGCAACATCCCTAGCCCCTAGCCCCTAGCCCCTAGCCCCAAATAAGAGAAAGGGAAATTCCCAACCAGACAGTCCAATGCTCCAGCACACTCCTCTAACACAGAGTGCTGAACGTCTCCCACCCCTATCGTAATGCTCTTGCTTAAATTAGTCTTAAGACCAGACAACAGTTTTTTTTTTTTTTTATAAATGAGTAAGATTTTATTAAACCAGCAAATAAGAGTTACATGCAACCCACGGAAAGGCACAAGATGCAACCTCTCCATGGGAAACTTGTAACTGCATTAGTTTTCTATTAATGAAATTTATTTTATTTTATCAAAAAAAGAAAAAAGCAATCAGTTTACTCAGCATTTCCACCACCAACACAAATAGCGTTGGTAAGAGGGGGTCCCCTTGCCTCAAACCCCTCAAAGAACTGAAAAATTCTGTTGTTACTATATTGGTGTCAAAAAAGAGAGAGACAAAAACTCCAAAGGACTTTAGACCAATAAGCTTGATTAGAAGTCTTTATAAGATCATACCAAAGGCTCTGCCTAAGAGGCTTAAGCAGGTGTTACCCTCAGTGATCTCACCCTTCCAAGGTCCTTTTGTTGAAGGAAGGCAGATTATGGACCAAATCTTAGTTGCTAATGAGTGTGTTGTACAAAAAAGAAAGAGTGGAGAGAAGTGTCTAATAT